ATCAAGTGAGTTTCGGTTGATTTCTCATTGGTTTGAGTATCAAAAGTTCAACTACATCCTGCGAGAATGGGTTTTCAAAGGGGAAATTTGAACTAATGTTACCCCCAAACAGTTGTGTTCTACCTAATTTTTTTCAGCGACTGTGATGTTTCACTCGAAGGGGCGATGAATAGAAGCCACAACTAATTGACATACATTTCGTGGCCTGTGTTCGTTTTCGTCAGCGCATACTTGTGTTGCAACGATATTTTGCTTTGTGTGGCGTCGATTCTCCGGTCCTATAAAACTCAGATGTTACTGAGGTGCATACCGTAATTCACGTTAGTCGGAAACTGACATCGTCACCCATGAGTGTTTATTGTTGTGTTATGTTAGGTGAAATCTCGGCGTGCAAGTAAAAGTTATGGTGTTGCATAAAAACAAGAGAATTCCAGGAATTCTATGGTTTTCAAGCAACCACTGATCATTTAACTTGACATTGTAGCCTCATCATATAAGAGAAACGCTCACGGACTCAGCAGCACCCTAGCTTGTAGTGACCGGCTGTCTCAACCAGTACTCAGCAATCTCACAAACACCACTGACGTAGCAACGTTATTGGCTGTTACGGCGAAAGCACCGGAATTGCTGGGCAATTTGGGCAGATAAATCTATACTACTTGGTGAGATCAGGTACCGTGTATTTGGAATAAACATATAGAAATCCATCTTGGTAAAATTCGTTCGTCCGCTCGTGCCATATGTGCATGGGGTTATATGAGAATCGTGTTGAATACACAACACATAATGAGTTCGTCTCTATCCATTCTTAAGATTCAGTGGGTAATATTTTATTGCCAGCTACTCTGCCTAGTATACTCACTTGTTACCAGTGGGTAATATTTTATTGCCAGCTACTCTGCCTAGTATACTTAATTCACTTGTTACTTATATTCTTATTCAGGCGGACGTTTTCCACGCGTATCACGTCATGCGTAAAAACAAAGTCCCACCGGAGAATATAATTACCTTCGCCCACGACGATATTGCAAACAATCCCAAGTAAATATCGCGTACACATTTTTGCTATATGATAGCAACTGGAATGTACAAAATGCGTTTTGTTGTTTGGCTTCAACACGTCTCATTTTTGTACCGCACTTATAATAAGCGTAACTGATGAGGTCGAGTTTCATGCAACTATGGGGTTTCGTGCGCCACTTCAAGTTGCACATCAGATTTTCTTTTATTTGATGCCTTTTCGTGACCGTAGACACCACAGAACCCTGATGCAATCGGCACTTTTTGATGGTGATGATCATGATTGTGATGATGATGATGACGATCATGGTGATGATGTTCATGATCACATATCCTCGTCTGATTTGTCACAATCTGAAATTAAAGACACTGATATCTAGATGTGGTTTTAGAGCAGCAGCCGTCTAATAATTAGGAGAATATATTAGGTAGACAAACTAGTAAGCTTATTATTCTGCAAATCAGCCGATGAGAAGAGGGAAAACCCTCTAAAACCATTAAACTTTGTTCCTTGCGTGAAGACTGTAATAATCGTAAGTCGCTTATTGCCCAATCGTTCGTTTGGCTGTAAAATCTTTAAGGTGTCTAGCTGCCATGTCACACGAAAGTTGAACGAATGCTGGGATACTGCGAGGTTTTTTCAAGCGTAGACAGGAGAGGTCGAAAGACGGAGGTTGGGTGGAACCACGGATATTCCGGTCAGTTAATCCGCGCTATAACCCCTTGAGCCATCTCGCACCATGCGCAGCCGAATTACATAAAAGGGCACTGAATATGAATATGCTCATTAAATCATTCTTTCATTCCAGAAATCCATTTAAAGGCAAGGTGTTCCATGACTACGAGCTCGAAGATGTCTACAAGGGTGTGCTAATTGACTACCGTGGAAAAGTAAGTCCGTGTTCTGGTGCGCAGCAATCTAGTGAATTCCTGCATCAGTTTACCGTGTAACACATTGCGGAAGCATAATGACACTGCGTATTAAAACACAACATAAACCGTACGGCAGATTAATCAGTTTTACTATACTACAGAATGGTAAATTTGTTTGAACGAACACTGGTCATAAGGTCATGGAGAACTCCCAGGTAGCCCGTGCCCGAGTTCAAACTTTTGCTATCGGCTTATCAGGTAGGCTTACCACGAAAAGTGCTCGAGGACCGAGAGTGCCAGAATAGCTTTCTACGAGGAAATATCCTGTGATATCCCGAGTGGTGCACCAACCAAACCAAGCGGCGTGTCCAGGACAGCACACTCAGCTGAATTATATCATAAATTAGACGTTCAACTGATTCACTCGAGTACCAATGAGTGATGCTCCCACGTGTGTTTCATTCTTTAGCTATTGAAGTAGACGAGGGCTACTTGGTCATCCTTCCAGGTAATCCATGTTCAAAGCAACTGCTAACACTAGCCTTCAGGAGCAAATTCAAAGGCCATGCTTGGCAAACAGATCAACAATAGACTTCTTCGGTTTTCAGGATAAAGCGACCATCGCAAAAATAATATGAGTGAAGATTCTAGATCCGAACCATTAATGAGGTTGCAAACGGATGTTTACCTTGAATAGAACGAGTGCGAAGAACACCTTTGTCACAGAAATAATTGCTCATGCGTGTTTACCTGTATTAGGATGTAACAAAGGATAACTTCTTGAAAGTATTAGAAGCCGATAATAAACTTGAAGCCAACAAGAAAAAGGTGTTGAAAAGGTGAGTTTGCACGAAAGTGGATATTGTTGAAGCGCTTGCTGATCAAATCTAGGATTCTGGTGTCACAGGTCAGCGTTTTGAGATAAACAAAATGGATGTTTGATGTTTTCCTAAGTAATGTGACACATAACCTCTTGAAGTAAAGCCCCCAGAAGTCAGTAAAAAGATTTATTTCACTGCAGTGGAAACCAGGTTTAACAATTTCAGACTATAGTTTATTATTATATCAGGCGTTACTCGCCATTGTTAACAAGTTTGGGAAATACTCAGATATGTGCAGTTGTGAGTGGTCAAATATCTGCTTGGTCTTGTACACCCTGAGGTCGGTCGATCTTGGTTCGCTCGGATTCAAGTGTTGTTTTAACTGACGGTATTGAACAAGGCAAATAAACACTGTTGATTGAATAATCTAAATCCAAGTCCACTGGCGGCCCTGTCGTCTTATGGTGGTTCCCCAAATCTGTATCGCCGTTAACCGATAATGCTCTCAGCCTTTATAATACCTGTTTCGACTTAGATACTGTGTGCGTTAGTAACGTCAAAGTTGTTCCTTCGAAATTCTTTCCACGACTTCTTGACCTGCACATGACGAGAGAAATAGCGTCGGCATACGGAGACAAGCCAGGAAACGAGGCAAACGTTAAATCACTTGCAAACCGTATATCTCCCATCCGGTCAGTTATTCATTAGTTGGGTTTGGAACTGCGACGCAATCCGTAATCACCCGCTCTTTGTGCGTGTTTCCTGATTGACCAATGCTTCGTACGGAGAACTGGGTTGTTTCTGTACATATTCCCAACTCTCAAGAACTGATCTTTTTCGTTCGCAGCTGGACAGAAACACCCTTGATTTGAAAGTTTTTGCGAAACCCGATTGTTGGGGCATTCTTCAAGTGAACGTGGAAAGCCTGACTGCGAGCTGATCACTACGATCAAAGAACAGATAAACTACATCTTGGTCAACGACTAACGAACGGAACATTTCCAGATCAGTTTTAGATAAATATATATGGCTTCTTGGATACCCGTGTTCAAAATGTAGTGTCGCCCCACCTTGATTATAAAGTTCTTCCTCACTAGTATACATTATGTAGATGTTTTCATAAACAGATCTAATTATATATGGAGGAGCGTGATTCCGGAAATGCCAAGTGTGACAGTTCCATTGGCAAGATGATAAGATCGCTAAAGTGGAAACTGCTTCCAACTACCTTCATGAATTGAAAACCATAGGAGCTACCATATCCCTGATACATGAATTACCAACAGATGTTCCAAGAATCGGTTTTTGATTCCTGCATTCATGTGGTCATGCAAATAGCAGATCGGTGGGAGTTAATTTAACTACTGATCATATCCAGTAGCATGTATAAAACGATATTTTGTACTACGTGTTCGCTATCCATCTGTTTCCGCGGGTTTTTTGTTGTGTTTCCTATGCGTTGGAGCGCCACCTAATAAGCTCCTCTTCAAGTCCACGTATTCTTTATGCCCACTTACAGCGGTCCTGATGACAACGTGTTCATTTTCTACTCTGGCCACGGTGGGAAATCCTTTGTTACATTCCCAGTGACAGTTCCATTGGCAAGATGATAAGATTGCTAAAGTGGAAACTGCTTCCAACTACCTTCATGAATTGAAAACCATAGGAGCTACCATATCCCTGATACATGAATTACCAACAGATGTTCCAAGAGTCGGTTTTTGATTCCTGCATTCATGTGGTCATGCAAATAGCAGATCGGTGGAAGTTAATTTAACTACTGATCATATCCAGTAGCATGTATAAAACGATATTTTGTACTACGTGTTCGCTATCCATCTGTTTCCGCGGGTTTTTTGTTGTGTTTCCTATGCGTTGGAGCGCCACCTAATAAGCTCCTCTTCAAGTCCACGTATTATTTATGCCCACTTACAGCGGTCCTGATGACAACGTGTTCATTTTCTACTCTGGCCACGGTGGGAAATCTTTTGTTACATTCCCAGAAGCGGATGTAAGTTTAGTTAATTTTGGTACCCACGGTTATGGCACACAGCTTTTTCAATAGGAAGCTAAATTGCAAACGGATTGAAAAGGCTTAGGTAAACGTAGTTTGGCGCATTGACATCGGTAATTCTTTATAAAAGAGATTTTGTAGTCAAGCTGGCCTACACATCAACCGAAGAATGGAACACAAGCTACGATGTTCGAACGTCACTCTGAAGAGTGATATCCCTAGCAATTCAAGTTTGATAGGTCTCGTCAAGGTGCTTTAAATAATAATCTCACGTAGATTTTGTTTGACCGAGTTTAGGGTCTCTCAACTCACATGCTTTCGCGGTCGATCCATTTAGACTACTGAGCAAACGTAGATACGATAAACAAAGAAACTGGTCGTATACGGTCACCCATGAGGCGTAGGTTATACGAAGAACGCGTCAGCCGAATTCTTCCTGACAAGACAAAATAGTCCTCTAGGAAGACAGCGCAAATCTTTGGTAGTTTTCACATCGGCCAGGAGCGACTAAACAACAGTCTGATTTATCCGCACTCATTCTTCAATCAAGGGATCCACATCACTGGTGATAACTTCGCAAATGGAAAATCCATTCGTCCTGTGAATTACTGTTCCTTCTGAGCTATTTGCAGTCTGCTGGTAGTAAGATAACATTTGAGAGTGTTCAGTTCAATGGAAATCTCTCTAAATTTCGTGAAACATTATTAGGGTTAAAATACCTCCATAGATTGGACATATGGTTAAAAACGGCCGTGAAATTGGCAGTCGGAGTGATCTGAAAATCAGTCATCCAAACTGGCCATTCATTATTCCGATTTTGTGACTGCAAGCTTATTCACTCTAATATTGGTCCTTCCGTGTTCTTTTCAAGGGAGGTGTATATAACTGTCAAAAATATAGCTAACAAACACTACAAGGGATATGGCTCTGATCCCTGAGCTATCTCGAGCTCATGAGAATTTTTCTTCTTGTCTTACGACAGCTCACGGCCATGGAATTGGACGATACCCTCGCCTACATGCATTCGGATAAAATGTACAACAAATTGGTGCTGTACGTGGATGCTTGCTACTCTGGCTCTATGTTTAAAGATGTTCTTCCTTCAAATATGGGAAGTAAGTCACGTAAATTTGTTTTTTCGCTGGCTCTCGTGTAGATCCTGTGAAATAGCATCCAGAATGTCGCTCACGTATGGTTTAAAAGCCGCGCTGACCAGTAAAACAGAAAGAAGTTCTAAGCTTGATTCATTCTTGTCCTCTCCTCCATCCTTGTATGGAGATAGACCCTGAATCTACTCAAGAAGCGATTGACCGGCGATGGCACAAAATCCAGTCTTCATCGATTATGTCGCTTCTGCTGCTAAACTAGTTTCACATGAGTAGAGCAAATCATTGTACAACCTGTGGAAATTCGGTGTCCCCGTTCAGCAAGCACAACGGCTTGGTAGATATATTCTTTATAAATTAAAAATGAATCGTAGGTCTCCTATAAAAAGTACACTTCGACCCACGAAAAACTGGTCTAAGGCTTGTGATGTGTCTACATTTAACTGTTCTTGTGTGTGGTCTCCTCCGAGGGGGGTTACCATAAAAAATATCAGATTATGCATTTAGATACTGATTTGATTTTGACGGACTGACCCAGCCAAATTCAGGTGAATATCTCGCTTATGAGAGCGCTTAGCAAGTTCCGCCGAGTCTGGGTTCAAGTATTGATTAAGTTTCGGGGAAATTCGAGGTCTGCGCCTACCTGACTTGCCGCAAGAAGCATGAAAACCATGATGTTCTGTCAAGGAAATACCAGCGACCTTCTCAGCATGGTGTCAGTTATAGATTTCCTGCTGCTTCTTTATTTCTGTGAGTCACACGATCAGTACGTCGATAATTTACCTCACTATTTCACACATTTTGATAATGATCTATTCGTTCTGTTTTCTGAACCCCCTAAAACTGCAGTCTACGCGACAACTTCAGCCAACGAAGAGGAACAATCCTGGTCGTTGTTTTGTTATGACAAGAGATTCGGTGTTTGTCTAGCGAACGAATACTCGTATGCCTGGATTACAGATTCAGAATATGTAAGTTTTAGCAAAAGTGTCGCAGGTAAGCCTGTCAGTTGTGCATGGATAGTCCGGTTTTATGCATTAGCCAGTGGTAGTCCATTTGATTCTTTTTTGATTTTTTTGTTTTCAAGCATGAAGAGGATTTATGGCTGTGCAGCCATCATGACCATCTGGTGGCCCCAGAATAATGAAACCACTGGTTGGATGTCCCAAATTTCCCACAATCCTCCCAATCAGGTTTGCCTCTGTTCTTACAGACGGGTATGAAAGAGACTATTACACGTCTGGGCGCTGTCGGTGTAACTAGCCCCATACAATGGAGACCGCGTGATTCCCACCGTGACTGGTTAAAGCGCTGCAAATCATGTCCTTGAATCGATGTTATTGGAGTTCTTGATATCATTTTCGATTCAGATCGCCCGGGTGATTGTCTGGAGCGGCAAGTGCATCGGTTGATTGTGGTAGGCCAGCCTCAGGTCCATTCCCCATCTATTTTGATTATTTTCTTTTGAATAGGGCTTCAAGCGAATTTTGAACACGCGCATGAAACGTCAGTGTTGAACGCGAATGCTGACGATGATGATCATCCCGATGATGATGATGCTGGTGGATCTCCCGAACGCCTTCGTCTCAATACATCTGTCGAAATGAAGCAGCATGTCAATGGCGTTCATGCTGAAAGTATACATCCAGATTGTCTGATTGGGTCTCGGAGGTATAGGTATCTCGGGTATTTGCTGTAGGCTAGCCCTAGATTTTCCTTCCTCTTCCAATATTCTTCATTTTTCCATTAAGGCAGTAGAGCACCACTGCCACCAGTAGTTTCCTCTGCTGTTGCTATCGATGATGATGATGGTAATGATGATGATGATGATGATGATCATTATCCTAAAGCATCAAATCATTAAAATGTGGTGTATGTGTACGGTGTCCTGCAACAGCAAAACCAGTACCATGTCGTTCCATAGCTAGGTCGTCTTCACTCTGGTGATAGTTTCACGGTTTTGCCTATATCGGATCTCTCCTAAAATTGCGAAGGCTGATCTTTCTGCCTCACATAGCCCCTCTTTGTTATTATCTCTCACCCACGCACAGAATGACTTGAAAAAGCGTACAGTGGAACAACAGTACCAGGAGGTGAAAAAGAGGACAGCATTAAGTCACGCAATGAAGTACGGTGAAATGGTAAGTCACAAAACCCCACGGAGGGATTCAGTTTGGTCACTTGTGAAAAGTCGAACTGTTATGAATATGTGTTTTTATCGAGATGACGGTTGTATTTCGTTACTTGTGAAAGGTGACGGTCAAGGATGAAAATGCTTGATTAGAGACTTCAGTTTCCATAGAAGAATTTCAGCAAACTAGCTAGTCCAGGCATCCAGATACACGAGCCTAGCCCGTGTCATTTTTCGAATAGCCAAGCTATGGTGTTGGGTATATTATGCTTCATAATTTTGGGTGCTACGGTACAGAAGGAAGTCTAATCCATGTGAATCATCCACTCAGAGGAAGAATAGATTTACACCATGACTGAAACTTCCATCTGAATAGTTAACACTCGAGGATCCAGTCAACAAGTGGTCATGTTATGTGGTTTTCCGTGATTGAACGTTAAGTGACGCTGTGTGCTGTCTAAGTGAAAGCCAATCACACTGCAGATGAGTCACTTGTGGCTGAGCGGATGGTTGCCGGGTAGTAATTCCCTATTGAACCGAGTTGCGCACTCCTGCTGACTCCCAATGAACAGGAAACAACTATTCACTGTTTCTTGGTTTTTCACCACAGATTGGCTTCATCGGAAGGAAAAATATCCGTTCGAATGAGAAAGTTCTGCTAGGCATCACGAAGCGGAAGTGTACATTAACATGGGTACAAACGATTGATTCAAGTTTAAACTATACTATGTGACGACGTCGTCAGCGTCGTCACATAGTCAGCTAGCTACGTTAAGTGATTCAGACATATGCTCAACAAAGCGCACATTCGAAATATACGTCAACACATCAGACAATGCGCTCCGGTACGATCCGCGGAAATTCAGTCAATGTAATTTTGAATTTCTTCATGGACCTGAACGAGCAAACTTAGCTGATAATGCTAGTGATTCGGTGGACATCAATGCTATACACTGATGTGTGTGAAACGGTTTTGAAATTGATGTTCCTTGGTCAACCGGATCTTTCAACACTAACACGTGAGTACTAAAGTGTGAATCTACGGTTGCATGGTGAGCCGCTTCTGCATTGTAAGCACCTAATGTTATCCCGGTTGATAATGCACTGGGCGTCTGCATATCGTTTATTTCATGCAATAGGAAGTCTCCCAGTTGGAAAATTCCAAGGTCATTATGATCTGTCGATGCACCGGAATGATGGGGCAATAGCAGTATGTGTTCAGCGCAATATTCGATATTTTGAATTGTCTATTGAAACAGTCATTGCTTACGCCATTATATGTTTAGGGAATTAAGTGACCACTCCAAATTCCAATGACAGCCTAGTAAGTTGTCACTTCAGTGCCAGAAACGCCTACCATCCCAGTTGATATTGGCGTAGATTTCTAATTAGAAACTAACTCATTAACTTCAATTCAAATAATTTTTATGAACACGGGAGATACTTAGAGTAAGAATGTTCATCCGAGAAGCCCATTCATATGGTTTGCTACCAACATCGATATAGATAGATAGATAGATAGATAGATAGATAGATAGATTGATAGATAGATAGATAGATAGATAGAACGACAGATAGACAGACACGTATTCAGATGAATAGCGGCTAATCTACATAAACACAGTGGAGCGATCGAACCGTAGATCAAACGCTTGGAGCGTCTAACGATCGCCTGTGGCATGGACAGTGATGATCGAGCTGATGTCGAAAACCTATCAGTCCAACAGGCAAATGTTTCAGCTATTGGAATTATTCGTGGATTTCATGTTACACCCTCCGACGGAAACGGTGTTTGCCACTGACCATGAAAAGGCTACAGAAACATTAACCTGCTTAACTCAACAGGGGCATTGATTCATCAAGGATTTTGATTCGATTTGTTCACAGAATAAAACTACACATGCTACTTAAAACCCCGTTTCAAATATTCAGCTTAATACTTGAAACGTTTAGAAACGATTGATTCAAGTTTAAACTATACTATGTGACGACGGCGTCAGCGTTACCCTGGCAACCGAGTGATCTTATGTAGTTTTTCCTTAATAGTGAGTGATCAAGGAAGACTATTCTGCCAGTCAGCATTGCCAGAGCTCCTGATAACAGTAATCGTTGCCCGATTGCTTTCTTGGTTCCAGCCGATTGCTGTAGATAGAAAACCCTCTTTCAGTGCCCATTTGTTTCCAAAGTTTCGACGCTTCATGGGAGCCGAAACCGATGGAGAACATGAAACCGCTTGGCGAAAGCTGCACCGTGCAATTCAGGTTTGTATGCTTTTTTATCCAGTTGATCTCAACAAAGGAAATTAATTCACAATAAAAGATCATTTTAGGTGAGAGTCTATCTGTGTGGTGGGGAATAGGTATTGAGCATGCATGGGAGCAAACTAACCGTCATCAGTCCAGTACTTCAACGACTGTTCCTAAAGCCATCCAAAAATCCAGTGTAGTTCGCGAAACCAGTGCGAGAAACCATTTATAGTCCATAGATAATCTCCCACAACTACTCACCTCACTTCTTTCAGCTTCGCCACATCGTCAAGGAAACTTTTCGCGATATCGTCATTGATGTGACGACCCAACATATGCCAACGATAAAGGGTTTGTCCAAGAGGGATGAGCTCGTGTGTTTCAAGGCAGTATTCGATCAATTCCGGACGCACTGCTTCACAATTCAGCAGGTGAGTTGACATCGTTGTGCACAGAAAAAACAGTGTGCAAAAATATGCACACATTTCTTGCCCATGTATACACCATTGGCGTAAAGTAGGTCGAGCCTCAGTCTCAAGATTACTCTTAGTTGAACGTCCAGCAAGTGAGATTTCGGGGCGAAAATGGTAATCACATCACTAATATCCTCGTTCTTTCCTTGAAATTGGACCTTCATCCCGCAACATCGTGTTCATACGCTCAAAATTTTGTAAGTTATTTCCCGTTATCACCCATTATCACTGGGGCGACTGATGGAAGGTAGAAAGTGGTGTAGGTAAATCGGAATTTCGAACAATCCGAAGTGTTAAGGAATAGGATCTCCAATTCCTAGCAGAGTGCATATGGATATACTAAGGTTGACAGCAGCTGGATGAAGCTGCCTGAGTTCATTTCGGTTCAGTTCAGTTCAGTTCAGTTCAGTTCAGTTCAGTTCAGTTCAGTTCAGTTCAGTTCAGTTCAGTTCAGTTCAGTTCAGTTCAGTTCAGTTCAGTTCAGTTCAGTTCAGTTCAGTTCAGTTCAGTTCAGTTCAGTTCAGTTCAGTTCAGTTCAGTTCAGTTCAGTTCAGTTCAGTTTAGATCGGAGATGACACAGGACAGCTGTGACGGGGTTTCCCTGTTTTCAAATAGTCCGTGTGTTCAACGAGGCTAAGGGAAAATGGTGAAGCAAGATTTGGCCAGCAATTCAAACACACGCAATTTCGAGGAACGTATACCGAACAAGTTGGCGTCCAGCTAACAGAATGCAGGAGACATCCGTGCGGTAGAACAGTAGGAGGACAAGCCCAGGATGATACCCATAACTAATGAATTCGGATCAGTTCATATGAAGCTCTCTGTTTCACTTTCAATGTGTATCGTGGTACCAATGTTTTGGAAACCACTTTCAAAGGACTGTTAACTCAATCTCTGGTTATTCTCTATACGGCGGTATAAATCCCGCCATTTTAATCAACGAGACCAGCCACTTGTTACAAAAACTCGTTTGATCCTACCTGTAAGTAGTTTGCTTGAAAGGACACGGATGCCCACTACTTGCGATGTTGAACTCACCAAGGTCCGACCCTCGGAACTGACGGTACTGTGCTCTTCTACACTGGTTTTCGTAGAGGAGTAATTCTGCGCGTTATTTTAGTATTGAAAACTGATCAAAGACAAACGCGTAGCAACACAATTCATCAACGTTACATCTGTCCGAAAAGCGTATCATACCGTTGTTGATTCCAAGAATCATCCAATCTCCAGTAACGGCATCGCAATATTTTTGGTTCTCTCCGCTGATAAAGCTTTTGATATGAGGCGTAAAATTTGCCTTTTTCAAACTAACGAGGGCTTATTGACGGAACTTGCTTGTGGTCAGTTGATATCCACTCTCCCCATCTTGAGCAATCAATCGCACGATTATTCATTGTTGAATCACCTGTTCTGTTCGTGGATGTTCAGTCACCGCACACAGTTTATTCTCACTTGAGTGTTTACCGAAGATTCCTTGGATCTCCAATCACGCCTGACTTCAGCGACAAAATTACTGACTACAATTGTCACACAACGGTAAGTGAGAACATGAGCGAATCTAAGAGAGTGCTTCCTTAGTGAATGCATTTTTGGAACCCACAAAACAATTCTGCACGAAGGAAGTCCAATGAAACACACAGGCATTCTTGTGATTCGTTTGATTTCATACGATTCGATCTAATGGCGGGGATTGTTAGCCGAAAAGAACCCAGATATTTCCCTGTACGGCTGACTCTCTTGAATAACTTCAGTGGATTGTCAACAAGACAAATCCGTCCAATTTGGGTTCAAGTAGAACACGAGGTTGACTGAAACTGGAACTGTGTCTACCTGATAAGCCCCAAGACGGGCAAATCCGCTCATAGTTTTACTACGTACTTTGTTTCGTAGAGTTCATACAGTTTCACTCATCTGCCATGTAGCTGAAAACTTTCGCGTGTTCTTCGCTAGCATCGAGGTAGTTTATATCAAAACGCTTCGAAATGTCCAGAATTTAGATATGGTGATTGTTACTCACCAACACCTCTCATCAATATTTTTTCAATCGCGGATGCATTATCCACTTGACATTCAGTGTGCCTCACTGACAATCTTCCCCACTTTTTGGCATAATGGCCACATTGTCTCGGGAACGCTGTATTCTGTTGGTGAACGTTGGGATGAATCTCGCGAGAATGTGCCTCACTGACAATCTTCCCCACTTTTCTTAGTCATTAGTCAAAACCTGTGCTTGACATTTAGGATACTCAGTCTTCCTTCTCCATGGTGAATCTTTTGTTTCAACGCTTAGATCCTGTTAACAATCTGTCTTCAGGTCCCCGATGTAGCTCATCATATATCTCATCTAATGGAGCTGTGCAAAGCCGGATACGGGACTGAAACCCTCATCGACTCTGTCTACCTCGTCTGCTCCTAACGGACACGCATCGTGCTGTGTGATCTTGCCAAAATAAAATGAGCTACAACTTGCTCGTATCATGTTTCGCCATCGCCACAAAACATGGGTTGTGAATCTAGTTAACCCCGTCGGCATTCTCAGGACTTGTGGACTTATCAAAACACCTTCACAAATCTGACGTACGATTGCACGATATTTGTACAGGACGAATAAAATTAGGCCAGTTGATCGACACAGGTAGGACAGTTTTCGGGTAGTCTGTCAACTCAAACGCACTCCACGAGTTTCAGTGTGTCTCGTGGTCATTCTAACCGTGCTAGAGACGCATCATCAAACTTAGCCCCATCGACTTTGAATGAGTCCTCATACACCCCTTTACAACTTCACCGGCTACTTAGATGAGGTAGTTGGGAAGGCGACAGTATGGTCGTGTGCTTGCTTGCTGAGCTGGGCAATTTGATTGCACACGTATCATCACCAATCGAGGTGACATCATCAGTGCGTTATCGGGGAGCGGATTTCTGCGTAGCGGTATGTTAGTGGTTGTGCCGGATAGATACAAATACTCCCATTAGCATATTAACTACGTCTCAACGGGGAAGTCAACTGAAAACAAATGAATCTTCCGTGTATACTGGTCTCTTTCAACTGGATTGTAAATTGAAATGCATTTCAGAAATCTGTTCAATGACGAGTTGGTTCATCCCTCTCGGTGCGCAAATTACTCGTGGTATTATTTGTGTCCCAAGGATATATCACCTAAATGTTTCCGCTCCCGAGGATGGCTAGAACACCGTATGCAGGAGCATGATGTTTGTCTTAGTCGAAATTCCCGGGAGAAGCTAAATGTGAATTGCCCTTTGTTTCTCTATGCTGCAGGTTAACTAACCTAAATAACGTCCTTCGCTTCTCAAAATAGGAGACGTATGATTGAGCAAGTTGTAAAGAACTTAGCATGTCATGTTTTGCCCGGAGTGATCATGCAAAGAAAACGACAGATGCAAATCACGCACTTCGGTCCACCTCCCAAGTTTTCAGATTTACAACCAACACCATTCGACAACAATCAGATGCCTCCCCATAGGAGTGAGGGTATTGTCTCTGAGGGGCGCGAGATAAATCAGTGGTTAGGGTGCGAACTTACTGATTGGAGGGTCTATGGTTCGAGTCAAACATTTGCATTCCGACCGCTCTTGTCTATATAATTGAGCGGTACCTCAGACGTCGTGCTTCTTTTGGGTAGCACCGTAATACACCCGAATGATTACTCTTCATTTATTAGTTTCATTACACATGACATCTCTCAGTTATGTCGTAGAAGAACGAGTTATACTGGCTAGAGCCATTTACGATGGTCGGACTGCATATCTACCGACGCTAATAAAAGTAAATTCGTTATCATTGACTCGAAATTGTGGATAGCTGTATTACTTTTGACCGGAAACAGAAATTCGTTGACAAATGGCAGGAACAAATTGGGGAGACTGAACAGAACCTTGGGGAACAACTGCAATCAAACGAGACAAGAGAGAATTTGGCAGCTTATAGAGCAGCTCCCGTTCGACCAGGTCAGGAAAAAAGTGAATTTATGGCTTGACACTCAGAGCATCGTGCGACAGAAAATCCTCAGGACATCAGGAGACAGCACTGCGGCCCAAGAAAATGGCCACATATGTGGCGTGTACTCCTGTAATTCAGATGTGGGAAAATGGAGCAGACTAGACGTGATTGCAGGAAATTCTGAAGCGCATTGACGGAACAAATTTGATAGGATACCATTTGGCCCAGGAGGCGTTTAGCGAGAGTAGTGGAAAATATGTTGGAGTCGCATAGAGTACTGGGAAGGGAGAAATGTTATAAATTGAGTACAAAGAACCTTGATACCGGGGCTCAGAAGGCACACTTAGACAAGTAACGCGAACTTGTCCTGATCACATCCAGGAGGATGTGTCAGGATTAAGTTCCGCACGTATATCGGTATAACCGGAGCAACTCAGAACTCAGCACAGCGTAACAAGTAGCACGTACATATTTGATTTGGCGTATATATACAGCACATGGAATATTAACACAAGCGAATAATAAATAGAGCAATCAATAGAGTATCAATCATGTCCATCACATCCGCCACACCTTGAATGGGCGTGTAGGTGCTTATAGTTTAGTGGTGATCTTGGTCGCAACCTTTCGGATCTTCTCGGATTAGAAACTTCAAGTTCTTTGAAGGTAGCGTGTTCTTCAGACACAAAGTCTTGTTCGGACACCATAAGATCAGCTACAATGGACTCATTAGTATTTGAAACACCAGGAGGGTCGTTAATCATCCAAATCAAGAATGGTGACCATACGTTTGCCATTTGATTAGAGTATTATTCCTGTAGCAGGTTGTAAATCATTACACTTGAAAAAACGTAACATCAGCCGTTTTGGCACAGTCAAGACTTGTACGGAAGGAGCGAGATTTAAGTGAAGGCGCGGCACCCTTACCAGTTATGGAATTAACGGCATTCCCGTATTGCACTAATCAATCCCACGGTCCAATTCCACAAAAGTAGTGGTAGAGAGTGAAATAATGACAGAATTTAGTGTTCGAGCAATATTTTTAGCAAGTCCATTCGACTGGGAATTTCGCGGAGCAGTAAACAGGTGTCGACATCCGAGACTCTTCAACCATTCCTCGAGGAATTTTGCAGTGAGGTGTGTGCCATTATCAGTGACCAAAACAGTTGGCACACCCTCATGGCTGAATACTTTCCTCAATGCTTGTTGAGTGAATTCGGCACTTGGAGACTTAGTCAAAAAAATTCAGGCCAACGTAAATATGCGTCAGTAACGACTAAAGCATAGTGTTTACCGAGAAAAGAACCGCAGTAGTCGGCACGAACTCGCTGAAATGTTTCACAAATAACTGGCTACCGTACCACTGTGAAAACTCGTTGTGAATTCTTTGTGCACATTTAACACAATTGTGTGATGGCAGAATCCAGTTTCGGCCACCAGCACGACAAGCGTGCAAGGGATTTCATTTTGTCAACACCCAGATGATCGGAGCGTAAATCTGTCAGAACAGCCCCTCGCTGAGTCGGTAAAATGATAACACTAGGCTCAAAGCACAAAAAACATCCGGAGTAATGGATAAAGATTCGCAACGACAGTAAACAGCAGGAAATTGGCGTCGCTTTTGTTGCGCCCAGCCATGTTGCAGTGCAAAACAGCGAGAGAAGCATGATAGCCGAATGGTGTTTTGCGCTAAATTGTTTCAAAACAGCTGAAGTTTGATTCCGATGAAGCGATGCACGCAACGTCTTTTCATGATTAGAGGACAAAGAAAATTTATTGGAAGATATGACATCAACCAGGGAACTTGCACGTTTAGCGAAATTAGAAATAAAACGGGAGTAACACTAAAGTGCTCCCAGAACTGAACGCAGTTCTTGTAGATTGGCTGATGATGGCGCATTTAATAAAGGAGATAGATGGTTCGTATTGGTTTTAAAACCGCTGCCATCCACAGTGCAAACAGGGCATGAAAATGATGGGACACCTAAAGTGCATTTATCAGGGTGAATAGCTATATTGAACCCAGAAAATCGCTTTAATAAAAACGACATACGCATGTCATGAGTAGCTTTATCAGCAGCGTGCACTATGGCTCCATCCTGATGCGTTTCAACACCCTCCAAATCCTTTGCAATAATATTCATAACTTGCTGAAATACAGCTGGTGAAATATTCACACCAAAGGGACAGGAATTGTATCGAGATAATCAAAAAGGTGTTTTAGTCTCGGCAAGATTACTAGAAGCTTTGTTCAGTGGTATTTGATGATAGGCATCTTTTAGATCGTTTTCCAGAACACAGTTGAACCTGATAAACGATACAGTACATTTTCGGGCTCCTCTGTAGTGCATCTACGTTGTAGCAACCACGTATTTAGCGTTAGCTGGTAGTCACCACAAATTCTCGGAGTAATACCATGAGCCTTTACTGGTTTAACTATCGGAGTTGCCCAATTCGATGATTTGACAGGAGTCAGTATTTCTCTCCCACACACTGAATTTAATGCTTGACGAACAGGTCCCCGTGAGCCAAACGGAATAATTCGTCCCTTATGGAACGTAGGATCTCCTGTATTGTCGAGTCACACCTGGATAACTGCATGCCACCTCTAGCCTTAGAACATTGAAAAATCAGTTGTTTGAGTTCATTCTCATTCTCAATAGTCAGTGAGGTGATACTAGTTTGCAGTGAGCGCATATTTTTTCAGTCCGAGGATCGATAGTCCCGAGGTTAAAACCAAAATATTACAATCAATACGGGAACCTTGAAACAATATCACAGGTATCGTGCCACCACCAACTAGAGGTAGTCCAGCTGTCCAGTGATACCGCGAATATTAACATATGTAGGCACTATCACGAAACTGGGTTAGAATAATAGATTCAACGTTACCAGTGTCAACAATGAATTAATGATTTGACAAGAAGTGGGTATCAGACTCGTAAAACCGGGACGAATTTTGGAACAAAACAGACAGAGAAAGAGCAGAAATGTTTTCAGATAATGCTTCCACGTCGGTGTTCGGATCAGAAGTAAAGTGATACACTGTTCTGGACTTACAGACAAGTTGAATGTGTCCAGTTTTCCCGCGGATAAATTATTTCGCTCGCCTGTGAGGGCAGGAATATCTGGAATATTTTCGTCTACAAGATTCACATTTCCCAAATTTTTGAACCAACAAAGTAGAGTGACGATCTGTGAAGTGACTTAGTTATGTATTTGGGGCATTAGAATTCGTTCCGGGTTTGACTTTGTTGTCTATTCGCATTCTAGAATTACTTCTTTCAGAGTAATCTAACAACACTGGTTCGTCAGTCTTCGTTACATGCTTCACATCCTCATACTGCTCACATATTTTCCGAATAGTTTGAAATTTTCGATCCAGACAGAGCAGCAGCTTCTGCTGTAATTCGGGCAGTTGAATGAGCACAATAACCCTATCACGCAGCTGGTATTCCAATTGGGCACCGTAGTCAAATTTGGCTGCTTGTGTCCGAC